CCTTTAGACTCCAATGTAGACCTCCATAATTCCAAATGGAAATAAATTGTTGTCCACATAATCGATCAAACAAAACCAAAAAGAGAATTTTAAAAAACATGATAATTGACTTTCAAATATATAAAACAAATGCTATGAAAGTTCTAATAGCATACATGGAAAATTTAGTAAGACAAAAGCTTTTGGTAAATTTAGCTACAACGTGACCTATTATGCTACTCCTGATATTAAAATCTGAAATACCTGTGAGAGGAAACATATCATAGGAAACTCTTTTGGCTCAGCTCGCTGAGTTATAAACTGCATGATGAAGGAACTACGGAAGTAAGGCAACAGCTATTGGCAGTTTGGCACCTTTCAAGAAGTACTTTCTAAACACATATGCTTATAATGTTTCTTCTTTTGTTTAACAGAAAATTGATAAATTTCCAATAATTTGATAGATTAAGGACAAAGAATATTTTAGCACCAGACTTCCGCCCATGAGAAATATTGATCTGCTTTAGTATGATCCCAACTCTAGGATATTGATAATCTGCTATTCGAGGATGTCGATGACTCTATAAATTAGATGTGGAGAAAGAGAGAAAAGAAACTCATATTGAAAGGATCAATGGCAATTCGAGGATGACAATAACAGCAACAACAACAAAAATAAGCCTTTATCACACTAAGTGGGGTTGGCTTCATATATTTTTTTTCTCCATTGTGTCCTATTGAGAACCATAATTTCATTTAATTCTAATAAATTAAGATTATTTTTTTATACAACATGCCCAAGTCTTTTAGGTCTAACTCTACCATTCTTCACATAAGTCAAATCTAATGCATCTGCTCTCCTGACTAGGTCATCATATGGTCGATGTTTAATGTGACCAAACGATCTAAGACGACTCTCTCTAATCGTGTCTGCTACTTGAGCTACTCCAATCCATCATATGGTTGATGTTTAATGTAACAAGACTATCTAAGGCATTAGGTAGTCGATAGTCAATGTAAAAATTGTTGTGGAAAAATTATGACAATTCGAGAATACCAACAACTCTAAAAAATTAGGAGGGGGAGAAGAAGAAACATGGTAAAGAGATAAGCTTACCACATCTTTTACATTCAATGCCTCATTGTGCTTTAAATGGAACTATTTATAGGATACAAGATTATTAATTCCTTGCTAATTAATCAAATTAACTAATTAACAACTTAACGCCTGATACAATATATTAAGCATCTTATATTTCAATTACTCTATTAGTATTGATGCCTTCAAAATGACCTTGCCCTTAAAGTTGAGTAAATCATAGATTAACGAGAATGTAATACAATGATGAAATCCATGAATTGTGAGTTGCAAATTTGAGATCAATGGTCATGGACAATATTGCACAATCTTGATCAATGAATATGTACGAGAATTTGCAATCGATGACTTTGCCCTCAAGGTCGGAGATGCAACCATAAGAATCAAACTGGTGTGCGATTGTGGACAAATAAAAGCTACATTTGGAAAGATCAGCGAATGGATTAAACGACATTTTTGGGATATGTCGGAACATGGGGAAGCAGTGGCATTTTAAAAATGATAGTGAAAATCTTGGATGGAGCAAATGGCAGCAACTTTCGAATCTTGTGGACGGAAGAACAATATCAGATAATGATAGCTATGGGTGATGCAAAAGATTTGGAACTATGAGGAAGTGAGGCATCCGGCGATCTTGAATGTAAATCTTGCTTGATCGGAAAATGGGTTGATGAAGGCCTGTGGACTGAGAAATGTGACGGTGGAGGGGAAAGCAGACAACGAGATCACCAACTGATACGATCTTATTTTTTGAATCTTCACAATCAACCCCATAAAATAAGTTAGGAAGGAATAGAGAAGAAAAACTCAGATTGAGAATGATGATTGACAGCAATTAGAGGATTTGGGCAACTCCATAAACTGAGGAGGAGATGGAGAAGAAGAAACACAGTAAATGGAGAAGCTTACCACATCTTTTCCATTACGTGCCTCAATTTTCTCCGAATAGAGCTATTCGTAGAATACAATACTACTAATTCCTTGCTAATTAATCTATTAGCTAATTAAAAACTCTTAATAATATGATACAGGATATTAAGCATCAAATATTCTAATTACTCCATCATGCTTCCTAAGAAAGTTGAAGGCCAATTAAAAATGCAAGAAACAGTGATCAACATTAAAGAAAACAGGAAGCTGATATGATAGAACATGTAGCTGTGAAATGCTATTGTCCTCTTGAACTCTCCTCAACATGAGCTATCATTACTAGCAAACACATGGCAATTATAAGCCAATAGCACAATTGAAGCGAAGCAGATTTACTAAGCATTTCTATCATATGATAACCGCGTCAATAAGTTAGTAAGACTAAAACCTGAAAAACCCTACTTCCTATTTAGCATTAAGAAGTAAGCAGCATTCATTCCACGACATCGTTCCTGCTAAAAAAGGAAAAGAGGCTACAGAAAGCAGCATCCCCCAAACACATGAGAAAATAATCATAGAACCCTATCAATTGAATAAATAAAGACTGAAATTAACTAATCATTAGACAATATGATTTGGAAAAGCAAAAATATTACAGAAACAATAAAATCAAAACTTAAATACCTCACCCATCGTCAATTGGGCCGTCAACTTCACCGGAACCTCTCTGCAAATTACCCGATCGTCCCTGGGCATTCCGGGGATCCTCCTTTGGTCCCCGCAGAGATGCCCTCCATTCTCCACATCACAATAGTATCCCTCCCCGAGAAACGAATCCAACTCGGTATCGGGCTTCCTAAGAAACCCTAGGCAACTGCAGCACCCCACATCCTGTCGATCTCGATCGAAGTCAGTGAGCGTCAGCCCCGAGATGGGAGACATGGCGAGGAAACCAATCGGCAGAAGGAACGAGGATGAAGAACACGAAACTGCTCGAAATTTTTATTACAATTACCTTTTTTTTTTCTTTTCCTTTTTTTTTTTTTTTTGTTGGGCGCTTTTTTTTTTTCTTTTCCTTTTTTTTTTTTTTTTTGTTGGGCTGAGAGGTAAATCCGGCATTTTTCTAAAATAAAATATCTTCGTTATTTATGATCCGAGAGAAGCCGGTTTGGACCGGTGTTATGGCATGCCATATCTGTCGATTTCAGTTGATTAACAGCATGAAAAAAACAAATAACGGTATCAAATGGCTTTTCGATGGTCAATAATGAATATGTTATTACTTTTATAATAGTTAAATTTATATATTTATACCACTAAGCTTATATATATATTAAAACATTAGAAATTTACATAGCACATCAGACGGATACTTCCATATTACCATCAAAGGACTCGAAGGAAACTTGCACAACAGCAAAGAAAACAATGCCCCTATTTATAATAGCGGGCGAACTCCAAACTTAATACAATATAATTAAATAAAAGAAAACACATATGTTGGATGTGACAAAGCAGGAAATTATTTCAAAATATTATTACACCAATCAGAATTATTGCAGCCACTATTTCACCAATTGGCATTATTTCATCCGCTGTCATTATTACCCATAATTACTTCTGAAGTGACCTCAGTGGAGGCCCACAATAATTTCCTGTCATTAATTTAAGTCGAGGTTGGTCATCATTCGGTTTCAATTTTCTTCGTCATCTGACCCTTGATTAGAGACTGGCATGTCGTATTCTGAAAATAATTCTTTCATCTGTTTCTGATAATATTATTGTAGTCTTTATTTCATTTGATCCGGACATTCTCGAGGATATTTCTTTTTAATTTGATCATGAATTTCCTTAAGTGGAAATTCTTAGGATCTCTGTCATCGATTATTTTCAACATTAGAATTAATGATTTTATTAATTTAAATTATTTTATCACCAACAACGACTTGTGACCGTCATTTGATAAAAAAGGTACGTCATAAGCCTTTGATGTTGACTAAATCTTGTTGATGACATAGATTTCAAGCAAAGATTCATGGAATTTGCGATTGACTGAAGAATAACAATTCACACATTCCATCGGCTAATATTTTATTTTTTTTATTTTGTCGAGCTGAGGAGAACAGTTAACCCACGTTGGATAGAGATCATTGATGGGTTCTGGAAGGATTTCATTGGTGGCTCCAAATTTTTTTCACTCTTCTAAAAACCAATCTGGTATTTCTTTATTCAAAATTTTAGGCATTAACAAGAAAAGGCAAGAATGTTAATGCCTTAGATTAATGAGTAAAAAGCTCGATTCATAGCTTGGACATAAAAAACTCGGTCCATTAATTAAAAAGAAATGATTTTTTTATTACTTATTTGATGAACAAATTCAACATGTTTAGTCTGGAAATGAGTTAAACCTCAATCCTGTTGATACAAGATGTGATTTATTGTCGTCTTACTATATGCAATAGAATTATTTGGTTAATTACAATTATGTTAAATTTCAACACATTGTAATGAAGTGAGGATTGACTCATATGATTCTCGATTAAGATTATATTGAGCGTAGACAATTGTGCCCAAATATCTCTCATGGATTTTCCAATGATCAATAATTTCATAATCCATTAAATTGATTTCGAGGATTTCCCTCTTTCGATGTTTTTGACACAAATTATGTGACTTCTTGAATTTGTAAATCAAGAGATTGAGAAGATTTATTTTCTGATGTGGAGGTCATTGGGCTTCCATATAAATATTGTTGTAAATTTATAAATTTTCGTGGAACCACATTAGGTTGGCCCCTATCTCTCCCCCCTTTAAAGGTGAAAGCACATCGTTGGGGTGTCATTCTAACCCTTTGATGAGGGGTGATCCACCCCTCCTTGTCTTTCTCACTGCATAAATTCACGAGTGAGAAAGTCAGGTAAATAATTAATATTACCCGCAATATATTTTATATTAAATTCAAAACAAGATAATTGAGCTTGCTAATTGACAAAAAATTATTTAGAGATAATATTTTTATGTCTCTTTGCAGTATAGACTTAATTGAACTGCAATTAATTTGTAATAAGAATTTCTGATTTAATAAATCATCTTGAAATTTGGTAATGCATTAGACTACCGAAAACATTTCTTTTTTGATGGTCAAGTCATTTTCTTGAGTGATATTTCATTTGTCAGGTTTAAAGCGAACTAAATGTTCGGTATTAAAATCCTTTTGCTTTAAGATTCCTGCATAGCCAATATTAGAGATAGAGGCATCCGTCTTAACTATTTTAGGGAGAGACGAAGTTGTTATATGTAAACAAGGTAACATTTTGACATTTTGCTTAATTAATTGAACAACTTTAGTATGATTTTATGTCCATAGATTATATTGTTTCTTTAATCTATTATAAAGAACAACAACATCTAACAATAAGATCTTTATAATAGTCCGCTACATAATTTAGCGAACCCCGAAATCCATGTAATTATCGGAGAGCAGTGATTTCATCTGAAAATTTAGAAGTGAATTCAATGTTTCTTTCAATTGCAATTGTATTCTAGACAATATTATGTCCTAAAAACTGTATTTCGGTTTGAAATAATTTAATTTTAGACTCAGAGATTACTAGCTCATTATTTGTGGCAAGCCATTAAAATGTCTGTAGATGTTTAAAATGTCTCTCTATCGATTTAGAGAAAACAAGTACATCATCAATATAAAGTAATATATAATCAGAATATGGATTTAAAATTTCATTCATAATTTTCTGAAATTCAGAAGGAGTATTTTTAAATTAAATGACATAACATTCCATTCATAATGACCCAACAAAACTGTAAAAATCATTTTATATCTGTCTGATTTAAGTATTTGAATTTGTCAGTATCCAGATTTTAAATCAAAATTTGAAAATATTAGAGATTTACTTAAGCGATTAAGTAAATCTCTTTTATTCGACATGAGATACCAAATCCATTTTAAAACTTCGTTTAAAGGTTTATAGTTGATAACTAATTTAAGTTTATTTCTTCTTTTTTTGCATTATTTACAACATAGAATGCAGTACAACTCCAAGGTGGGCTAGATTTTCTAATTAATTTCTTATTAAGAGTTCATTAATTTCTTCTTTACAAATTTTTAAATATTTTTGATTCATTTGACAATTTCATATCTTCATCTTGACGTTTATTTCATCGAAATTATCAATATATGGTAAAACATTACGTGCTTTTTTCTATCCCAAAAAACAGTTGAATTGTCACCACAAATTTCTTTTAACATATTTTTATGTAAAGTAGAAATTTTTTCTTTTATTGAATTATTATTCAATTTTTCTTCTATATATAATAAAATAATTTCTTCTTGTAAGAAATTAATTTGATTTTATTTTAATTTAAATTTATTTATTTCATTCAAAATAATTTCTGTACGATTAGTAATAAATTCAAAATTAATGGTTTTTCAAAACTTGTTAGAATATATGTTAGTATTATTGATTTTATTAATTGGTATAATTTTATAAAGAAACTGAGTTCTCAAAATAATATGTTGAGTTAAATTTTTAACTAATAGAAACAAAGTATTAAAACAAATATCATTTTTGCAAATATTAGCAGAAAAAAATTTATATTTAATTTTCATTTTATTTCCAGACGCAGAAGTTAGCTGCTGCGTAGTTTTCTCAAAATATTTAGAAGATATTATTACTTCTTTAATACAATTCATATCTACTCCACTATCAACAAGAACAATAAGATTAGATAAAATATAATCTCGATTTATATTTAAAATAAATGTTATAAACCATTTATGCATAATAGCTTTTTCAAAGAAATTTAAAAAAGATTGTTCTAAATTATTATCATTTTCTATTGATATTTTATTTGTTGTATTATTTAATTCTAATTTTAATAATCTAGCATTTATTTTTTCTTGGTTTTTTTAAATAATTATCTTAGATTTTAAAATATTAACTTCATTTTTTAAATCATTTATAGTAGTAGCCCTACTATCAATATTTAAAATTAAAGCTTTATTTAAAGTTTCTTTCATTGAATATTATTGAAAAGGAATGATATTAGAAGAGGAGTATTATCCTTTAGATTCAATTATTATTTTAAACATTTTATTTCTAATCTTTTCATCATCAATTTGAGATGCAATTTTAAGTATTTCTTCTTTCATTAAAGAAGATAAAGTAAATAAGAAGATAAAGTTTTCATTAAAGAAGATAAAGTAAATAAGTCGTTCATTTCGACTATAGATTTATAATAATTTTCATTATTACATTTGCACTCAGATTCTGTGCAATTATTTTCATCAACTTGTGATAAATAAGAGAAATTGTCCTCAATTTTGTTTGAATTGTTAGATGTCTCCGAATTTTCAGGAGATGAATTTAATATAATTTTGAAAATAAATTGCTTAATATTTTCGTCAATATTAAGCTTTTTTATTTTCCTTTTTACTATGCATTTATTTGCATAGTAGTAAGTTTGCCACATTTGTAGCATTTATTTCTCTGATTTATCTATTTTTGTTTTTCTTATGAGAAATCTTTGGTTTTTTCTCTGAATAACATTTTTCAGAGTACTTATGATATTTATTCTTTTTTGCAAAAAGATTTTTATTTTTCTTTTGGAATTTAGGAATATCATAACCAAATTGTTCACAGAAAGTGCCTAATTGCTTTCTTTCTGTTAATTTTTTTTTTAATTTGATATCTCAATTTGAGATCTGTACATAAGGCTAAGTCTTCTTGTACACAAGTATTTATCAGTTGTCCATATGTTTAATAATAGTATCTTGTAATTGTCCTTTTACTTTATCAACAAAAAAAATTATGTACACCTTCAATAAATTTTTGCTTCTAGTGCATACTATTCGCATCTAGTAGAGACATTACTCTAGTTAAAAAGACATTTTTATACCAACGAAACGTGTCAAAGTAGGACATCTTAATTTTTGTAAAAAAAATAAATTAGCTCTCCATTATCGGATACTATA